TTTTGATAACTTTTTTTTCGGCGCGCCGCTCCACCTCTCGCTATTAGATGATGCCCCACCGTTACCTGCCGAGTCCGGCCTGCCGCCTTCTACGCTCTCATTCGCTCAGACATTAAAATTAATTTCTCGATAACTACTGCGAATTTTGCAAAATGGTATAGGACTTTTCTATTCAGTTTGCCCCGGTCTATCTGCCATTTACGGGTGATACGGGTATTAGGACACACCCTGTATATCCAAGATTTTTAAGTAATACCAATCAATTCTCTCAATTAGTCCTGTCGATATTCAGTAACGCAACGATAATTTTCACTTAAGAGGCACTAATCGAAATGTTAAGTTGCTTAAGGGGATGCTGGAGTGATTCTGCACTTTTGCACCTTTCGCACTTAAAACTGTCCGTTTCGTGGAAACATTTGTGCAATATACAAATTAAATGGCTCACGTGTACAGATCGAAAGCAGCTTAAGCTATTCCGGCTAAATTAAAGATCAATATGGCATCACTGAAACTAAGTTTGTAAGTCTATTAAAAATTAATAGTGAACCACACACATACCACATGTACTGTATGTGTGTGTTGCTCACTATTATTTCTTATTAGACTTACAAACTTAGTTTCAGTGATGCCATATTGTTCTTTCATTTGGCCGAAATAGCAAGCTGCTTTCGATCTGTACACGTAAGTCATTTAATTTGTATATTACACAAGTGTTTCCGCGAACTGACAGTTTCTAGGTTAGAAAGGTGCAAAAGTGCAGAATCACTCCAGCATCCCCTTAACTAAAAAAAAACGGTCAAAATTTTTCCCAAAGTAAATTTACGAACAATCCAAATAATTCGATTACTAATTGCGGGCCCCAAAATGGGTTGCTAGCTGTCATTTTTTCCCCCAGAGTATCCGAGGGATCTTGCGCAAGTGCCTATCGAATTTCCGCGTGATAGGACACGCGGATGTTGCGCTATTCTCTGGTGTGTCTTGGCATGTACGTGGAAATCAAGCTATATCGCGCTGAACTAATTTATCGACGCGTCACGTAGTCGCATCTGATTGTTCATCAGGAGCCTAGCCGGGGCTAACGATCGGTCGGATGCGGCCCTCCGATACTCAAATGATACTAATTCCCACCGCATACTTGCTACTCATTAGCGTTTGAAGCACAACGAGAAGAAACGAACGAGCGAACGGATTTGAGGGATCATTGTATTTATTAGTTGCAGAGAAAGGTTATTCTTCAGAAAAGCGATTATATTTGAAATAAGTAATTCAATTCTTCACTCGCAACGGTCCGTCACGATAAATCTCACGTACAATGCGCGCATAAATAAATAGAAATACTTTACCGCTCCTGTAGAGAAGAAATACGAGGAGCTTAAAGCACGCTCTTCATATGATGCATTATGTTACGCGCAAGAATTTGTCATATAAGAAAATCGCGTTGCGAGAAGATATAATATTAATATTTACGCGACGCGGAACGTGTGAAATGAAAGCGGTCGCCGGAAGTACAGGAGGGGGCGAAATCGCTCTCGCGATATCAAACGGAAGTGCCCGCGTTTCGAATCGGGGAAAAGAAATGTACAGGGGCGCGATATTAACAGGAATGGCGAATCAGGAGCGAATCGACTTACGAGCGCCTGATTAATTTGGAAAGAAATGCGCGCCTCGTGGTAATAATTGAATGCTTTCGAGTCATATTTAACGTGCGCCAAACGCAAATACAACGGGAAAAACGCTCGTGTAATTCCGTTTTCGCTGCTCGGCGGATTATTCAATTTTATAAAGCTTAAAAGTGCCGCTACTCTTCAAAGCGGAGGCTATAATTAGCGAAGGATAGGATAAAGGCTCGGTTTTCTCAAAGCATCCCGGCGAGACCGAAGAATATCAATATAAGCGGCCATCGAGAAACGGAGAAGGTACGTTCCCGCTGTAATACGGGTACGTGTTTTAAATTCCCGTAACAAAACTGTGTAACTCCACTGACGTTCCCTCGGGACCGAATCGAAACATTTTAACAGAATCTCGACTATTTTGACAATCTCGATACATTATATCATAATAACGTAGACTTTTCATCTATTAATCTCCATGCAAATTGTCCGACATGTCTAATGTAACTTTACTTCCTTTCGCAGCACAGTGGAATAACTTAATATGCAAACAAAGTAGAAACATCTTTGTGCGCGCGGTTACTGTTATCACCGTTGCTATTAAAGTGAAAAAGAAAATGTTCCATGTCAGTGATATTATAAGGTGCAAAATTTAATAACCGTCGAATTTCGCGTATCTCGTTAAAGTTCTCGCGTCGTTTTTCTTCATTCTTTGTTCAATTAAGCAAGTAAAACATGTAAGGTGTGGCCAACATACATATATATCACTTAGTTAAAAAAAATGTTAACACACACATAGTTAAGCAATTGTTTCTTATTATAAATTTTAATCAAGTAAATAATAGCGTTAATATTTTTCAACTGTGCTGAAATATCTTGAAAACCTTAGAATGCAATTGAGTTGGTTCAACGGATGTGTTGCAGTTTAATTATTATTAATAATTTCGTGTGCTTAGCACAATATTACTTTTTCTACATAGAAATATATTGAAGAAGAGCTGATTGAAGACGTGTGATTTATATGTGACATTCAACAGGCCTGCATGTGTGTGTACGTAAAACTTCGTAAAAGCTATCGACTGGAAGAGCGACGTTGTTTCGCTATTATTTTTTATCTTTTAAAGCACATTACATTCGCCGCCGTATTGTGACGCGCTGATCTCGATTTCAGTTTAATAAGTTTGCATTCAGTGCGATCCGATATTCGTGCGTAAACACGACATTAGCATATTGTATGTTCGTCAACGGATACGCAAATAAATACTTAACAGGATTAATACAAAAAATTTAATAATTTCTTTCATATTTAATGATATACTCGTGATATGCGATCGGAGAGATTTTTTTCTTCTTCGTTGCTTCTCGCTGCAAGCAAGTAATTAAAAATAATTACTAAAACGAGTCAAACATGGAACCGCGTAATTATATTATTCGTGAATTATTTAATCTGATTCTTAAATATTCTCCATTTTCTCTCCTCTTTGTTGTAGCCCCTCGATCAAATCGTACACTTTCCTTCTTCTTTTAGTTTCATATTATTATTTATAGAGAATGGCGTACACATTGAGCCATAAATGTATGTACATTAGCCTCAAGTCAAGTGTCGCAATCGGATGTAAATTTACGCGAGTAGATCTAGAGTGAGCGTAAACTCCAAGGTCCTAAATACGCAGTTTGTCCCATGGGCTAACCTAGTTGCTTACGTAAATGCAACCCCGTATCGGTTAACGTTAATGTGTTAATGATATGTATAAATTCCAATTCCTGAACGGCTCAATACCGTACACACTCGTGACATTTCGCAGCACGTTATGCAGCCGCAAATCAACCTCGCAATAAACACACGCCATTACAAGCTTCCACTTTTATAATTAATGGAACTGCAATCTTATTTCCGAACCAGTGATAGCAGAGCGTCGGTCCTACAACGATATCACGGTAGAAGAAGTAGAGGGAAGCGACTGATGTATCCGCAGATGCCAATCGCATCTTGG